AGACGTCATTTGAATTCATTGGAAGCATTGGTGTTTACACACACATAGGATTTTCCAGAGATCTCCAAGAGAGCAGTAGGCTGAAGGTGGGCTATGAATAATGCTTTGGGTGTTACCTCGCTGCATTCACCAGTCAGTTTGAAGACAAAACACCTGTAAAAGGGAGCTGGGACGCTGGCAGGGTGCTAGCATTGCTTGCAAGGTGAGGTATTTTTCAGCATGGGTGAAATTATAACGGGCTGTACCAGTTCCTGCCTTCAGCACAGCTTATGAGGGCCGGGACACTCACCCTGCTCATCCCCAAACATATCCACAAGGCATTGGCACTCCTTCTGGATGCGCTCCTCCAGGCTCCTCTTCCCCAAGCCGAAGTTTCGGAGGGTGGTCAAGGTGAACCTCCTCTGCTGCTTCCACAAGTGCCCGCTGGAGGAGACCAGTCCTGGCAGAAACACCCCACCGTGAGCCAAGGCAGATCCCTCCACCGAGGCAAAAAAGCTCCAGGGCTCTGCCTTATCTCCAGCCGTCTCAGACCTCTGCAGGGTCAATGCTTTGACCTTACAGCTGAGATATGTGTCCTGAGGAATAACTCACCCATTTTGCTGAAGACCTCTCTGTCAACAGGAATTTCAGGGCGATCTATGAAGTTTTCCCCTTGGTTTACAAGAACTTCCTTAACCAACCGCAGCCCATTTACGAACACAAACTGTACTCTGCCCAGCTGTATGCTGAAGATGTCCCCATATTTTTCAGTAAGCTGGTGGGGGGGAGGAAACAAATAAAAGGGTTTTCATTTGCAATGAATGTGTCTGTCGGGACAGGGACAGCCCTGGCAGGGGACATGGGTGAAAATAAGGGAAACTGAGAGCAGGAGGGGAGACGGGGTGTTTGCACAAGTGTCTGCTTGTCTGCGTACAGTCTTTTTCTTTCCTCTTTTCCCAAATCACTGATCAGGAGTTGGTGTTAATTGGCCATCAATCAAGTAAAACTCTCCAGGTTTGATTTTTCAGTCCTGTGTTTTTCCAGCTTTTGTTTCACTCCCTTCCTAAATGCCTTTCCAGTCCCTGGTCAGACCTACGGGGCTTCTACAGCCGTGGCTGCACCCGTGGGGTCATGCCGTGCCCCTTGCCCAAAGGATCGTTCCACACTTGGCCCCCTCCTCGTACCCAGGCAAACTTTGTCCATGTTGCTGCTGACCGAGGGTAAACCTCCTGCCCGCCCTGGGGTGAGCTCCTCCGAGTCCTCGTGGGGTTTAGGTTAACCTCCTCCCCACGCTGCAAACGTTGCGTAGCTGCAATCCCCTCCATCCCCTTCCCTGCGGTGTCCACCACCCTCATACCTTCTGCACCATCATTGGGGGATTGCTGAAGTTCATCAGGTGGATGTGCCCCACGAAGGGGAGGGAGAAGGGGCTGGGAGGGAAGTGCTTTGGCTTTCTGTGCTTCATGTAGTCAGCGACGAGCAGGAAGACAATGAGGAAGATGAGGAACATATGGAAGGAGATGCTCTCCCAGAGGAAGCGCAGCATGGCTGGATGGTGGGCTCCACAGGGACGTGTCCCGCGGCAGGTGAGGGCAGATCAAGCTCACGGGGCACCACCGAACCCCCCAGGGACGGGAAAATGGGCAACGCGCCGGTGCAGCTGTGGGCACAAACACAAGACAGCATAGAGTGGCTTTTGCTGACCTGATCTGGAGGCTGCGTTCGGACTCCTGCTTTCCCAGGTTTCAGCAAGGACCGTTTGATTAAACCTCTTCTTGATTAAACTCATGCATTTCCTCTGATCTCATTAAAAAAAAAAAAAAAAAACCACAAACCAAACCACCCCCAGCTCCCCCTTTCCCTTCCTGTCTCCCATTGCTGCTTTGCAAAACCCCAGTGATCTGCATCCTTGTCTAAAGAACAGAAATGAGCTTTGCAGAGCTGGGATTAAAACCTTCCGGCAGCCTCGCTGTGCCATTCCCACAAGCCCATGGCTCGGTGCGAGCCCCGCTCTCTCCTCCCTGTTGTGCCCTCACCGTGCCACGTCCCCGTGTCAGCTTCACGGTGCCGGGGAGGCTCCAGCTGCTCCTCGCTCCTCGTGTTTTCCTCGTTTGCAGAAGCTTGTTTGCCGGTACGAAGAGTCCCAGACCAAGCCCCAGGTCAGCAGGGACATCTGAGATAAGGTTGCACAAACCTTTCACAAACCATCTGACTCATGGGTTGAGGTTTCGGTGCGTCAGGGTGATGCAGGCTGGAAGCAAACAGCCATCCAGGATCTGCAGCGGTTTCTAAGCACCATAATTTTCTGATCTCTGCCGGACAAGCGCGAGCAGAGCAACCTTCTCCGGCCATGAGATTGACCCTGCCCCGAGCCCTCCAGCCACCCCTTCCCACCTGCTTTTGTCTTTGAGTCCGTGGCCCGTGCTGAAGCTGTGCCCAAAACCCAACAAAGCTGAGGCAGGTGCTGAAAAGCCAAAGCAGATGCCCAGCACTGCAACTGTGGCCCTTCGGTGGTAGCTGGTAATCCGGCTGTGCCGAATTTTCCCAACTAAGAGTGGTTCTGAGGCAGGTAGTTGATCGTGCACGTACAGGACATTGAATTTTGACCTATGCGTTGTGTTTTATTGTGAAAGAAGCAGGGGCTTTTGCAGCAGCAGTTTGCCCTTGCACCATGTGGCTCTGCCGTGGCCGTTTGCAGTCATCAGCTGCCACCTTGTGCTCCGGGGGATGATTTGGGTTCATTTTCTCTCTTTTGGGGACATCAGTTGTGGCCGTTGGAGTTGTCCAGTGCCAAAGACAAGGTTCAGAGATGTAACAGCATCGTTGGAGCAATGCCATATGCGTGAGAGCGAAGCTGCTGCATAACCTTTATACTTGAGAAACTCGAAAAGTTAAATCACTGTTTTATTGTGGAACTTAAAGGGGAAAAAGCTGCTTTCAAGGAGATTCTCTCTTTTTACTGCTGGCTTTTAAGCATGATGTGGAGATGCATGTGTTCCCCTTCACTCACATGAAATGTTCCACTCAAAAAATAAACAAATTCATGCCTCCTGCCTTTATGGTATGGGATCATTTAAAAATGGTGGGGGTTTGTGTTTTTTTTTTTTCCCAACAGATTTAAAAAAATAGAAGAAGAAAAAGAAGACTTCAACCATTTATTCTCTCCATGAGTAGGGAAGGAAACCCTAAAGTAACAGGGAAAGGCAAGTTTGAAGTGGAAGAGGGAAGAGATCAATATTTGTTTGCTAAGCCAGTGCAAATAATACAAGCTGTAGCCACATACCAGAGGTCAGATCTACACCAGAGTGAATAAAAAAATGGAGAGAAACCAGTGCCTAGTCCTGAATGGCTTTGAAAACTTCATAGGTGAAAAAAAGTCCGTAGATCTTTTATGTTTTCTCTTTTAGAAAGAAAAAAAAAAAAACACGGGAGCCTGTAACTGTGAAACATTAATTAAAAATGCAATAGGATTAAAGTGATCAGTTAGAAGGACAGCTCATTGACAAAATCCGTGTGTGCCCAGTGTGGCAGGGATGTGATGTGCAAAGGACTCTCCCATGTGGCATAAATCTGCCACTGCACAGTGATTGCTTTGTAACGCAGCAAAGGCAGTTATTGCTAGAGATGAAACTTGATTTAATCCTCTTTTCCTGTTAACTATTCAGTATCCTGCGTGGGTGCCCATAGAAAAGTCACTTATGAAAGGTGAGAAGAAAAAAAAAAAAAAAAGGAAAAAACCCAATCTTTGCTGTGACTATATTCCAAACAAAAGCACACAGGAGACAGCATTTCTAAGCATTAATGCTTGGTCACATAAATGGAAAAATTCTCTACAAGTTGTATATGAATTAACTCTTTTCCAAAGAGACCCTGGTGTGGGCAGAAGCAGTGTCTCCATCACAGGTGGTGCCGTGCCCCCAACCCACCTCCTCGGCCCCAGGCTATGGACATGCCCATCATGCACGGCCACAAATGTTTGCCAGAAGCGGAAGGGAAGCGGGCCAGCTCGTCCCACCGCAAAGCCTCCGTGCCGCCATTTCCTTCCTGACGGCCAGCGGCAAGCTGCCACGGGCATGACCCTTCTGACACTCTCTGCTGCTTCTTGTTCTGTTGGGCTTCACCTAAACTGCTCCTGAGCAACCCCATGCAATTTTTTTATTGCAACTTTTCTTTCCTGTTGTGTATTTTACTACCACAAACCTTTTTGGATAAACTTTTCCCGCTCATACAATTGCAATACTGCATTTTTATAGCCATTCGCGACCTGGAGGCATGGCTCCTCACGCCATCCCACTTGGTCTGGCCTATGGCAGAAGCTGCTTCTATCATCCTGTAACCTCCTAATTAAAATTTCCATATATGTATGAGATTAAAAAACTGCATGCTCCTGCAGCAAGGATCTCTATTTCCATTGCAAAGCAGCAACACGGTGGTGTGGGGAACGCACACTAAACCGAAGCCGAGGCCACCTGAGCCTCAGGATCAGCCATGGCCACCTGGAAGTCCAAATTGCCGCTAAGGCATGAACCCAGAGCTTGTACGTCCAAGGCCAGCTGCCCCCACTGACCAGGGAGACCTCAGAAAACACAACCCATGGCCATTCAGGGTGCTGCAGCGTAGGGATTTTGGGGTTGCTAAATGGTCTCTGGGTGGTGGACATATTCCCTATGGAAAAGCCACCGTGGACCCAACTGTGCCCATGGTTTTGCAGCTGGCAGACACCTTCCTGGGAGGTGCTAACGGCAGAAATTAAGTAATAAGGCTTTTAAATTCATGCATTTCGTCAAACTGATAGAGGGGAGGAGGCAGGAGGCGAAGGGAAAAGCTCCAAGGGTTGTCCTCGTTGCAGTGTGCAGGATATGGCCCTCCTGCCCTTCCCACTGCCACCCACACGTTGGCGGGTGCTAGAACCCGTGGCCCATCATTTTGGCCCAAAATCTATGGGGTGGATAGGAGAAGGGGCACTTTCCAGGCTTGCGGAGGGCTGAAGCAGGGGGGCGCGGGGCAGCCCCACGCCGGCCTCAGTCGCGAGGCAGCGCGCGGATCTGGAAGGGCTTGGGGCAGCGCGTGAGGCTGAGCGTGAAGGCGAAGGTCAGCGCAGCGGCCGCCGGCGCCCGGAAGGTGAACTTCTGCAGGAGGGCTGTGAAGAAGATGAAGAGCTCGGTCCTGGCGAGCTGCTCCCCGGGACAAGCCCGCTTGCCTGGAAAAGGAGCAAAAATAACCCTACCGAGTCCCGCGCCAGCTTCAACCACCTCTCGGGCTCCTTTCTCACGTGCCGCCTTGCACAGGCTGCAGGAGCTTTTCTTCCTCGAAAGGTTAGGTGGCAATGTTCACCCACACATTTTGCAGAAATCTTCCCCAGAAGTTTACTGCTGAGCAAACTGCGACGGCTGTTCGGATAGACGAAGAGGGGAAGCTCCTCAAAAAAACCCCATTTATGCAGCTCGTGCAAGAGGAAAAAACCTTAATTTTTCATCCTGCGATAATAAATTGATTTCCCTCCTGCTCTGAGCAGTCAGTATTAACTGTTACAGGGATTTTCACTGTGGGAAATGCTGGGCATGGGCTGAAAGCCGGACAAGGAGCAGTACCCCCTACTCTGGAGGGGGTGTCCTGCAGGGAAAAAAACCAAAAGCATTGCAAAAAGGAAAACCATCTCCCCATCCATCATCCTACCTGCAGAGAAGGGTAGGAAAGCCTCCCGCCTCCTGTACTGGCCGTTTTCCAGGAAATGTTCAGGATTAAAGGTGTCTGGAGTCTCCCACACGTTTTTGTCGAACATTATCGAAGTCAGGCTGGTCATCAGGGTGGTGCCCTGCAAGAGGTGGAGAAAACAGGCGATTACGTGACGGAGAAGAGCCAACGTGTTGTCAGACTAGTTTATTATTAGCTCTGTTCCACACACAATGTAAACTATATTTTTTTTTAAGGGCAAATTTTTTTTCCTAAGCTATCTAATTAAATAAGGGTGAAAGCCTACAGGATTGTTCACTTCTGTGCTCCTCTATATGTCACCATAGTGTTGATCCGTACCTTGTGCTGCTGTCACTGGTGACGTTAATATAAACCATTTTTAAATTGATAGCATTGTGTTCCCATAGGAATTCGAAGAAATTTAACCAAATAATTTTCAATCGGTCCACTTTATTGTGCCTTTTTTAAAAAACCTGATCTGGTTTATCTCCACATCATCAGAAAAAGAAAAATATTTTAATCAGTGTGGAGCGAAACGCCTAGATTTTTTTATTTTTAATTTTCCTTGATGCAACCAATCATACACATGGAAGAGACTGGATATATCTAAAATCTCATATTTGCTTTCATAATGCCAGAACACTGTGTACGCATCAATACCTATTAGCTGGCTTTTATCATGTGCTACTTTTAATAGACGACTTTTAATACTCTGTGGAACTAACAAACCCGAACTGTTTGCTTTCCTATGTTTCTTGGCCCTCAATTCTCATAATGCCTGGAGGGCGTCCTGTATAAAATTTAAGGGATAAACCCTGTAAAACTGAAAATTATGACCAGCACTGTAGGATCTCACAATTCTCCTCCATAAGGAGGTGAGACCTGTAAAAGCCCTACAGCCTCCATCAGGAGAGCTTGTATTTTCTATGTAACTGTGATATCTCCGTAAGATCCTGCTGATAGGTTCCCCTCCAGATGAGATCTGGGGCTTGGGCCATGAAGACTTCACTCTGGTGGGGCAATGGGAAGGCTCGCAGTCTCCACATACTTTGGGCAGGTGGAAGCCGGCCAGGGTGGTGTCGCTGGTGGACATTCTGGGCACCCCCAGCGGCACGACGTTGCCCATCCGCAGGACCTCGCTCAGCACCGCGTTGGTGTACGGCATGTTCTCCTTGTCGGCCATGGCGGGCTGGCGGGACTGGCCGATCACTGTGTCGATTTCGAGCTGCACTTTCTCTATGGAAAGAAAGAAAAAGAAAAGATCTGTGCTCAGAAGGTTCCCCATGAGGAAACTGGAGCATAGGCATGTCCAACATGTGGTAAAGCTGGAAATAATTCTGGTTTCTGAGTTTCACTTATCTGGTTTTGGGCTGAACGAAGGACCCATCAGTGGCCCTACCCTGAATGTGGGGGTACGCGGCCATGTAGAGCAGAGCCCAGCGAATGGCGGTGGCCGTTGTCTCAGTCCCGGTTAAGAAGAGGTCCAGGGTGGAGCACAGCAGGTTTTCCTCATGGAAATATGAGCTGGTGTCACCCTTAAACTTGGGGAAAGGCACGGCAATGAAAACTCTTATTAGGGAGGAGATGCTTTCAAGAACCCAATCCAAAACCATCCATACATAAGTCAAGCCCTGCTGCTATTTTATTATCTGTCACCCCTGGACTTGGAAATTTCTATCCCTTACTTTCATTGAATTACAAGCCCTGTGGAATGCTTTGAAAGACACCCTGTTTGCTGTAGAGTGACTTTTGAAAGCAGGTAGCATTTTTAAATGTGAAGTTTCACAATAGCAAACACAGGCCTGCGAGCTCTCATAGAAATGTGAACACGTTCCCTGAGAGTCCTCCTACGCCACATGACAGAATGAAAAATGGAAGAAGACAAAGTGTAAATACTTTCAAATGAAAAAAAAAAAAAAAAATCTGTCTGTTTTCAAAGTGATCAGGCTCCTGCTGTTGCTAAAAGTTTGACGTGGAAGAGGTAGGGAGGAGAAGGCAACGCGGGAGGCACGGGCTCCTCTGACAGAACAGCCTTGAGTCTCATCTTCTCATTTCTTGGGTTAAGCTTTAGGTGACTTTAGATATTTGCTTCTTACCTTTTCTATTTCCTTCAGGTAACAGTCAATATAATCTCCTGCCTCGGACTGGTCCAAATCCTCCTTGTGCTTTGCGATCACTCCCTTCACAAAATATTGAAGTTTCTCCCAATGCCTGAAGATTTTCCTGAAGGGTCCTGGTAGCCACCTCATGACCGAAGGAAAAGCATTATACAGCTGGTGAGAAATGAAACAGAGCAAAAGAGCATTTCTTAAGTTAAAAAAAAGCAGATATCACAGTTGCGATGATAGCACAATTTATTAGCTCTGCTTGCTACCAGGAAAAAAATAAGTTTTGCTGCAAAGGTCAATTTAGTTACACAAATGTAAACATGTACAAACAAGATAAGATACGTTTTCTGCTGATAAAGTTCTCTAATATTGGCTGATAAAGTTCTCTAATACTGTCACCTAACATGAGGTGGCCACTGGAGTCATAAATCAGTGTGGATGCAGAGAAGCCCCTTAGTGCTGCGGTCCATGGAGGGGACAGAGATCAGACCTGGCTCATGGTGTGTGGCCATGCAGAAGCGATGTGCAGCCTGTCCCCAAATCCACCTACTTTGGTTATAAACCTGGACTCTCAGACACTTTTGTCATAAATGAAAGTTATTTGAGACGCTGGTTGGGAAATGGGTGGGGGAAAAGAAGGGAGTTTTCACTGAGTGCACTACTGATTGACTCTTCTTTTTGTAGAAAAATAGATATTTTAAAGTTTTTTCCATTGCTCTTCAGTTATGTCAGGCATAAGATTAGTTTTACAATCCTGCAGTGTTTTTTGTCCATGTGCCTCAATAATTTTAACTTGCTTCCTTGCTTTCCTGATGGATTTTGTGTATAAATCCAGCCTAATGTAAAACAATACTCATGGTCATTTCCTTTATAAGATGACTCTTTTCCTGCAGGGAAAAGCAGATTACATCAGTGCCTTAGAAACTCCTGTTTCTGAGCTCTTACGTGAAGCTGAAGCTAGAAAAGCATCCGACTGGCTTTACCTGGCCCCAGAAACTTCCGATGAGCAGCAGCGTTTCAGCCAGCGAGTGCAGTAATTCCTGGAAACGGTTGTCATGGTAGTCGAAGCGGTTCCCAAAAGTTATGGAACAGATGATGTTTGAAACAGCGCTATTAATTTTGTAATGAGGGTCAAATGGTTGTCCTGGAGGAAACAAAATGAAAGACAACTTTCTTTTGTTTTCTTTAAAGTCTCAGACAAAACCACACTCTCTACCAGATCAGCAGTCGTGAAGTTGGGGTAAGACCTCACCTACTTTTCACCCATGGTGATGCTAAGGCTTCACCCCATGTCCTGGGGGTCCCCATCACCCCCATCACCTCTAGCACCCCACTGCAGGTTGGGCGGTTCTTTCTCCAAGGACATCCCCTCCCATCTCCAGCCCGGGCTACTGGCACACACCAGTGTTAGCGCAGAGCTGCCGAAGCAGGGGTTGAATTGTTTCCCAGGGACAACAACCAGCAGGATGCCGCGCTATGGCTGTTGGGTTTGCACGCTCCAACATGGTTTTGGTGCCAATTTTAAACATCAAGAGAGGGTGCCTCAAAGCTTAGCCTGGGGCAGGGAGCTCAAGGACTAACCGCACTGCAAAAATGCCACTGCACTGGCCTTTAAGTGTCCACCACAAAGAAATCAAGTGGGATGGGAGAGAGGGGAGAGGGTGAGGATTGCAAGTCTTTGCGGCCGCCTATAAAATCCAGCAATAGCTCATATGGCCCATGGGTGTGATGCACATAGGTCCTGAAAGAGCAAAGGGTGGTGTGACGTTCGTCACATCTGCATTCCTTGGGAGAGCTATTGAGCAGAGACCACCACCTCCTAGGGCACAGTTAGGCAGCCTGGAGAGCTACTTGCCATGATATGAGAGACTAATACCAGTAACGAAGCCAGTCCAACCCTGAGCTGCTGTCGGTACGCTGGGGAGCATCGCTTTGAAAGGCAAGGACTACTGATCCCTCCACTCTTCAAGAAAGTAATTAAACTGGGCTGGTGCTCAGATATTAGAGTGATGGACATGATCACTATTTGTCATTACTAATGGGAAGAAAGGCCCAAACCAGCAGCTTAATTAGTTTATTGATTAGGACTATAAAGGACTATAATCAATTGGCAACATGAAGTATTTGGCCTGTTCAGTGCAAGAGCAATTAAAATGGAGCAAGTTCCGTATGTAATTTCACAATTCCTATTTAGATCTTTCTTGTTTACTATATATAGCTCCATTGAATTAGCTAAATCCCATCTGCTTCTATTTAAAGCTGAAGTGCAACATCACCCATGTACCAACATACAAATTATTCTTACTAATATCCCTCTGGCAGTTCTTAAAAGCTGGACCATAAAAGAGCAAGGCACACGCTTCATCTGTGCATCATACAAAAGGAAAGCCTGACTAAACAAGTTTTAAAATACTTTGCAAAACCAAGGACAAGCAGAGGTTAACTAAGCCTCTGAGCACATGTGCCTGATAGCAGGAGAGCTGCATTTATCCCTTCACAGAATACAGGACAGACTTTCTTAGCCATATAAACATGCAAGTTTTAATAAACACCTAGTACATATTTGCTTAATATTAATAAGGAAGAACTAAAATAGTAGGCCTGAGACCTAAAATAAGTGCTAAAAGGCGCAGTCTAGAAGTGTAAGATAGAGATTTGAGCGACTGAAGAAATGTTTTGCAGGTTAGGAGCTGCGTTGGAGTAAGAGTTCTACTTCTTGCTGTTCATTTAGCTGGAAGCTTTGGGCACGGTGCTGTACCTTAACCGCCCACCTTTCTCCTCCTCGATCGTCTCCACAAGGTACCGGCTTTCCTCTTGCACTTTCTCCTCAAAACTTACAGCAATGCTTTTCAGCGTTGCTGAAGCAAACTTTCTCTGTTGCCTCCATATATGCCCATTTGATGATATGAGCCCTGTAGGTGGAAAAAACAAGTGAACAAACGTCACTCTGGGTCACGTATGAGTGACAGGATTCAGAAATGGCCATTCATCTTGAACAAAAAGCCCAAACCAAAGCAAACAAACCCCGCAGACATCAAAAAACTATAGCTTTGCCTGGAAATTAAAATTCAAGAGTAATTGGCTTATGCTAAAGATCTAGCTTTATGGATTTGCTTTAATCTGCTACTTTGTCACTTTGCGTGGGAAAAAAAGGTGTAAGCCAAAATACTATAAGTACTATCACGCTGTTGGCAGAGCTGCAGGCAGGAGCACCATACCCCGTCTCTGGAGCTATATGTAACCAGGGGAGAAAAAGTAAAGGAGAAATTAAAACCAAGGGGAAAACTCTTCAAGCGTATCGACCACTGGGCAGCTTGCATTTATTTCTCCTCTTTCATCGAGACCTGACTTTGATCCCATCATCATCCTTAAATCCCGGAGAGACTAAAATGTACACCTGTGAGATTATTAAACTGAATTCAGTTCTTGTCTTCCTCTGTGCAAGCTTTTATGGGTGCAGTTAGCAAGGGTTGAATTCAACCTGTTTCTTTCACTCTAATTGTTATCATTGCAAATAGCTGAAAAATTTGTACCAAAATCCTGGTAGCTGTGCTTACCAAAGCCTCTAAATATTTCTTGGAGGAGTGGAATATTTGGCCGATCTGTAAATATTTCAGCCTGGTGGACAAGAGCTTCTCTCACCATCTGGTACCCGTTGACTACCACAAAAGTCAGACTTCCGAACTGCACGCTGAAGATGTTCCCGTACCGACCAGTGAGCTGAAAGAGAGTTCACCACCCCCTGAGAGCGAGAAGGTGGAGATTTGCAAAACTCACCTGGACAAGACCTCGAGCAATGGCACCTAACTTTGAATTTAGTCCTGCCTGGAGCAAGGGGACTTAAGAAAAACCCAAACCCAAGTCTTCAGGTCCCATCCAACCTAAACTATTCCATGAAGGCTGGAGATGGCATAAAAAGTGCTAGAGAGCTGTAGTGTGGGAGAGATGTTTTGCTTACATTTGTTAGCAGGTATGACCTGGGTTTCACCAGGCGGGTTGCGTCAGTTTAACTTATAACAAGGACATTACTTGCTTTGTAACTGATGGGTATCTGCTCCATCCCTCTTCTTCACAGGAAGGGTACAAGAGATGAAGGCACCGCCTGGGTGACTATGCCCAGGCTCTTGCTGCTGAGGGCAAAGCACAACTGATAATCCCTTTCATCAACTTTGTGTCTAAAGTAGTGTGGTTTCTTGTTCCAGCTATCCCATTTAGAAAGTGGCTCCAACTGCTGACGACTAGAAACCTACTTTTAATTTTAAGCCTGAATGCATTTATGGCTAAATTATAGCCATTTTCCTTGCATGGACTTTACTGACATTAGTGTCTCCTGTGCAGTGTTCAACTCCCTAATGTATAAAAGCAAAGGGCAATCCTATCATCTCTTGGGCCCCGCTCTGCCAAGGAGCTCGGGACGTCCTCTTCTTAGTATGAGTTTACATGAAAGGACAGACATGGTCACCCTGAACTGCCATGGTGACTCGTGAAACTCTGGAGCCAAATGAGTGTCTCAGTCATTGTGTACATGTAAATGAATGCGACTAGTTTTATTAATAATAATGTATTGACAAAATATACTGAGCGCACTGCCTCAGCCTTTCCCAAGGGTTCCCCTTGGGGACATCTGTGCTAGTGACCTGTGAAAACCCAGGGTAGCTAGGCTGGCGTCAGCCTCCTAAGTAAAAGCAAGAGGTAAATAGTCACCAGAAAGGATATTTGCAACCAGCAAGTCAGAACTTTTCCTTCCACTTTTTCAGAGAAGCATATTCAGCATGTATAAAATATCTCTCTTTTGTTGGCGTTGGTGGGAGTCAAAGCTCTGGAAACCTTTCCAGGGCAATCAATGCCTCTTTCTGTGACACAGAAGCAGCCACAGGGATGGTTAACTCAAGGTCTTAAATGTTTCTTTCAGATGTAATGGGGCAAATCGTTGGCCTCTGAGCAAAGACAATGACAATACAATTTCCAGAGGTGATGTTCACAGTCCAGACAGTTCATTTCTCACACAGCACTTGCCATCCCTCCCCCAGCCTGGCCCAGCCCCTCTGAACCCTTCCAGCAGAAAATGGTCATGATCAGATGGGAAGAAAGAGGAGGAACATGTAGATCTTCCTCCATTACAAGTTTCTTTCCCATTGGACCTTCTTACTCCCATGGAAGAGGAGGTGATAGTAAGAGATAAAACCAAGAAGGGTATTCTCTCGTACATGGTGATTATATAGCTAGCTCTCCAGAGGCTGCCCTTGCTTCAGTGACAAAAGTCACTGAAGAGGTAAAATATTGTTAGTAGGAGAAATGTCCATGGAGCTCTTACCTTCTGCAGCGCAAGATGGAGGGGCTGCTTAAAGTCCACAAAGGTTCCCACGAGAGGAAAGAGCTGTGGCCCTGGAGGGAAATTCCTGGGACGTCTCTTTTTCACAAGGTCAATAATCAAAAGAAACGTGACCAGAACCACCAGGAGCATCCGGCCGTTCAGCTTTTCCAAGAGAGAAACCAAATCAGGCCAAAACTGAAGCTCCATCTTGGCTGATGAACTCAAGGATTTTCATCCCAGGAAGGGACTTGATGCTGGTGTTACATTGGCTAAAACAGGAGTAAGAAAGGACTGGAAAGAAAACAAAACAAGCTAAGATGCTGATAGCTTACTGGGGACAGGGCTTGCTATGGGCGAGCTGCTTTCTCATGTACAGCCACTGCCAGACCATCTGCTGAATAACTAAATTTGAACACCTGGATCTCCAAAAACAACTGCAAAACCCCAAACGTTTGGTCAAACAAAAGCAATCTTGCAATCCTTTAGCTTTACATCTCTGTCAACTCCCTAATTTTCTTATGGAAGAATATTCCTCCCTTCGGCCCTTAACAAGGAGCTCCTTTATACAGACACCTAGCTGGGATTATAAGCATTACAGACATTTGAGGTTAGGTGAAAGCAGCTTACTTGGCTAATTACATATGATGGGCGTTGCATAATTTAAAAAACGGTAAGGCATCTGAGGTGATGGACACCATACGAGCCGCTAAGGGGCTGATCCTGTTAAGTGCAAAGCGCCGTCTGCAAAGGGCTGGATGCCTTCAGCGCCCACCAAAGCCTGCCCGGCTTTGCCAGAGTCATCAGGTGAAGTTCAGACAAGGGAAGCACTGCAAGAGCCCAGGGCTCTGCCCAGCCACTTAAACGACAGTTAAAGGAGCTTAATTTCAAAAGTGAGAATGTAGGCTCATGCGCTTGCCAGCTAAAGGAGAGATTGGAACTTATGCATTTAAATCTCCTGGGTTTTCCGAAAATCTCCTTTGAATAAAGCTTCATGCTGTCCTGGGGGAAGGCTGCAGTGGACCAACAGTGACCTCTGTGACCGTGAATCAACCTTGCGTCGCCCGCCAATGTTTTAGCTACAACTTGTTTCCAGGTCTTTTTTTTTTTTTCTTTTAAGAGATTTACTTTACAAACAATCTAAATTTATACTGAAGGAAAAGTGTCAATAACAATTTTTCAAATTATTTGCCCGAAAGTTATGGTGAGAAGTTCAGAAGACTGGTAAATTTTTATTGCCTTCAACATTTTTCAGAAAGCTTTGATTTTTCAGGAAAAAAAGCGAATATTCATAAGAAATAATAATTGGAAAAAAATTTTGGTATTCTCTAGTCCTTCACCACTTTTAAAAGCTTTGCTGTCCACGTCTTTCATTACCTCGGTGACTGCAGTGCCAGCAGAAGCACACACAGGCTGTATGACAGACCTGCACCTTAGTTATTGCAGGAGTCCTTTTTAAGGGTAATACCTACCTGCAACCCAACACTTCTTGGTTTGAAATATTATTTACAGGTTTCTGGATGGTCTTAGGCACCGAATGGGGAGCAGTAATGGGAGAAACATCTCACGTCACTGGTCTATAAAGTATATTTTACTCCATAAAGTACAGCTGTGAGCAGCAGCAGTTGGACATGCTTTGCTTGTCCCCATGCCAGTGCACCCGTGACACTCCTGTACCCATTTGCATCAATGCACCTATTCCACCCTTCCCGGCGTGGCAAGCCAAGCCTCGCTTACCAGAGGCTAAATCAGGATAGTGGGCTCATGCTCTTCATCCTGGCATCGGGGAGATGACTCGGTTGGTGGAGGTGTCAGCCTACAGCATGCTCAAAGGGACTGTGATGATAAGGCGTCAACTTCTGCTAGCCCAGTTTCACTCCTCTGTTCTTCGCTATGCCATATGATTTGTCAGCATGCACACAGAGTGCAGATCCCTCTACCACTTGTGGCTGCTGTGAATCGGGCTACGTGCAAAGCCAAGGTGTTAATGTGTTCTTCTGGGTGGTGTTGTGGGGGTGGATGCATCGTGGTTGACAGGAGAAATGTTATTTTTAGCAGGAGGAGCACATTTTGCATGTACTCACATGTGTCTTGTCAGTCAGAAACCTCAAGCCTCTTGCTTTGCCTTGAAGCTTCGCATGTCCAAATGCTTCTCTTCACAAAGTCCTTAACACGCCAGATTTACTAAAAATTAGGGAAGAGCATTGCAGTATTACCAGGGCTCTCCTAACCTCGGTAGACAATAACACCAGCATGTTACCAAATTGCGATGATGCTATTTTGGGTCCCAGGCTTTAATCAAATCAGTTCCCAGCACGTGGTGACGTGCAAATCCCCAAAGCATTGAGGAAGTCATACTGCTGCGGCGCATGGGCAGTACAAGAGTGTTGGACAATTCCTGTTTTTGCAGTCTCGACAAGACCCTTAGCTGTAAGATCCTGGTCACCTGGAAGATGAACCTGTGCCTCTGGCCGGCACCACAAACACAGGAACGTCGGTCTTCTGTGGTCCAAATAGCCAAAATGTGAATTAATATGAGATAAGGATGTACACCCACACATCTCATAGGGAGTGGGATGTAAACCCACCTTCCCCAGTTCCTCCTTGAATACCTCTTCTGACCACAGTACACAACTTTTTGATCACCTCACCTGAGCTCATCGATACTGCGTAGATAAATTGTGCCATATTGCATGGACACACACACATCGCTGCTTGAATATTAAGGCATCTTGAACAGCCAACAGACAGAAATTGGCCCATATGCTTTGTACCTTCTTCCCTGGCTGGATGTCTAACTGTGTGCAGAAGGTTTTGAAACACAAAGAGAAACATTCTGTTAAAAATGCAATTACCATTTGTTTTTCAAGATATAGTATCCCATTATTTTTTCCAGAGAAGTGAAATTCAATAAGGTTACAACAGAATGTAGTCCAACAGTTACCGTACTTTCAGAGCATTATTTAAGCTACAGAATTTCTTAATGATTAGAAACATATGTAGGAAAAATCACATGCAAAATGAGAGTGACTGGAGACAATTTTCCCCTCGAACACTTTTTTCAGGCAAGTAACAGCTCATCCACCACTATGGTTCCATCCACCACGTTGGAGGTGTGAAACCCCCACCCAGCCGGGGAGCCACGTGCTCAGGTCACGTCAACCGACAGGCTCCAGCGAAGTCCAAGGACCCATCCTGATTTACATCAAGGAAGATTTTGCTGCTTCTTTCCTCCTTATGTCAGACCCAAACGAGTGATGCCATTTTCACCACAGGCAAGCAGGTGAACAGCAGCCACCACCCCGATGCGCGCGTTAAGCCCAAGTCCCGGAGGGTTTTCACGCAGGTGTAGCTGCCATTTCACGATCCAGCCCAGGTGAGTCTTAATGGACCAGGAGGCAATGGCAGCTCAGGACACTCGTTTCCTTTTAGGATTTGCTTTACTGGATCAAATGAAATCTACAGGAGATTTGTAACTGCAGAAGGCGAGGAATGGGGAGTGCTGGGGCACCTCCCGGAGCAAGCTCAGGAAACCATGCTTGAACCCAGTCCTTAAGCTTAAGTTCCCCGCTTGGGGTGATTTCACTGGGACGTAAGTGCTCCCATGGGAGCTCAGGGCTCAAATGTCTCTGGGAGTCTGACTCCAAGGCCCGAAATCAGGGAGCCAAGTCCATATTTACTGCTGTGCATGCGTGGTGAGTGCCCCCAATTTTGCATTTCTCTCTCTCCTACCTAAGACTAGGTGCAAATATTCTCCAGGTTTTCCTGGGACTTCCACAGATCTCTCAGCTATAGCCTCCTGGCCACAACAATGTTTCCAGCACTACTTAAAGCTGTAAGGCAGGCAACTGTCACCATGAATGGGTAAACTGAGGCATTACGAGCCTAAGCCAAGCAGTGTGAACAGACCTACAAAGTGTCCCGTTGTGCAATCCAGGAGGGATCCCAGAAGACAGGACGCTTGGTCCCCTTCTGTAACAGACCAAAATGTCCCTTTTCTGCTGTAGAAGACAGTAGCATTGAAGGGATTGCATTCAGATTTGTCAGCCGGATAATTAAATGTAGGTAGCAGAAAGTGCCGCAGGGAGCACTCCCCGTGCCTCCAGACCCTGGATCACCCCCTGACTTTTTGGTCTTTGGGCCAAGATTTTATTCCCTTCGCAGCCAGGAGCTGCATCGCCTTTGCCAGCCCCGCGCCGCCCCGCACGGCAGACCCCATACGGATGTATTGAATCCGATTTCGGGGGTGCCGGGTGCTTCCCCCCGAGGGGGCTGTGCTCACGGCGCCGCCGGCGGCAGCC